ATATATGTACATTGTAAGAATAAGGTACAGGCACGCCGAGAAATTAACTGCAAATGAAGACGGAGGTAAATCCCTTACTCGAGTGTCACACATATCTTAGTGTTTGACTGGCAGCGTTTTGTCCACCTCCGTCTGTCGGATGCTGACATTTTTCCACGGGTTATTTTATTATTTTCCGCGTTTATAAAATACCCACAAAAATATGGCGTCAAACCACTGTTCTGCCGTTGTTCAGCGTCATCTCACGACGCCTTGAGCGCTAATCGATAACCGATTATGCTAGCATATTGTTATACTATAGTATGAACTGGAATTCTGTAGAGCACTTTTCTCTGTCCTCATTTGCGTTACGGTTTCTACCGATTGCCTAAATCATGTCAGCAAAAGCAAAAGCAGGACTAACAAGTCGATCGCAAACGTGTCGTCCGCGTAGCACGCGGTGTCGCGTGCCGTCCCCGCTGACAGCAGTGGATTGCGCCTTGTTGTTTCGAAGATCAACGGAACCCGCTCGTAAGACATTTCGGTCTGTCGCAATAGCAACAGCAGCCGAGGGCGCTGCGTTGCCGCTGCTGCAGGCGGCCGATTCATTGTGTATCGCCTAAACGTTTCTCTTCAGCCGCTTCTTCTGATATGCGTGGATTGTATCGCTACTAATGCTCTTCAACTATAACAGCTGTTGTAGCAGTCGAACAGAGATGATAGCTAGCGAACAGCTGTGACGACACCATCGACAAAAACAACGGGTACGATCGATCGGGTAGGAGCTCCGACGATCATCGTCGTACTCTGTTGAGTCTTTTTTCTAGATGTCTTTTTCCGCTGTTCTATTTTCGGCTTGGCCTACCTACCTAGCTACCTACCTCCAGGTCTACCTGTCCGCCTGCTACCTCCCTGCCCCTGACTGCTCACGAGTATTAATACTCATACCAATATTTGCTAATAGCGATGGCAACGCGACGCGATGCTGATCTACTATTGATTGCTGTTGTTACCGCAACTATTTTGCCAACGGCGTTTCATTCTCGGAGAGGAACACAGACGACATCGTCCGTCCGTGCGTTCGCTGGAAAAGTTCCAATGCTCAATGCGGTTGTTGCCGCAGTTATCGTTGGCGCTACTCTACGAGTATATACGAAAATATATGATGCTATCCCTGCTGATGCTGGTAATAGTCAACTGGACGGAGGCAGGACAATGACATTGACGTCTAGGCGACGATACTAGTGATGATGTTTGACTGTTGGCAAAAAACATCAATTTGCGTTGCTTGTAATCCGACCGACTCCAGCGATGAGCTTCTACCGACGCTACCATTTTGTTGCTGCTGCCGCCGCCGCCGTTGCCATCGCCTATTCTGTCTTGTGACGATGGCAGTGCCTGTCGTTGTCGTTGTTCCTATTGCCTGTGGCTTTTCCTCATCCGATCGCCTTTGCTTCGGAAAGTTGGTGAATCCTTCGCTTCTCACTCTGCTCATTCTCTTTCATCATCTCCATCCATCGCTGACGCTGGTGCTGTTTGTTTCCCTGCAATATTGTGCACTAACTTTGCCAGCTTCTTGATGTCTTCGACGCACACACTTCTCCCGTTGCAACCGGCAACAGACTATCATCGTTCGATCTATTCTACGAAAGCGACGCTGCTCGATGACGGCCGACAGCAGCTGCTATCATCGAACGTTGCCGTAGCAATAATAAGGTAAGAGCAAAAGTAAATAGCGCTACAGTCGTCGCCGTCGCCGTCGCATTGAGCGTCTTTGTTCAGATGCGTACGTACATACAAATGTATACCTTCTATGAGCCGCTGCCGGCACCGCATGGCACTGTCTATGCTCTCCTTTTCGGACGCCGACTCCTTGATGCGGCTGCGACCGCTAAGGCGTTCGCCGAATCGCTTGCCGTCCACTTCGAGCCACACTGACTGGCTGCTAACGCTGAATCAACAAGAAAGCTGTCTGCGTGTCCGTCTGGCTTTCAGTTTGCGTCCGGTAAGTTAACTTCGTACCAGTCGACTTCACCATGCTGCTAAGTGCTCTACTCCCTAAGCCAAGGCTCCATCCATTGCCGGTCAGTCTGTTGATCCATTTGCCGTCCACCAGACGATCAGCGCTCGTCATCTGGCCGTCTTGCTGGCGCAGCCACACTGTGAAACGGGGAAGCCCGCAGCCAACGCCGCTAACGACGACGAAGAAAACGACATAGCCTGCAGTAAGATTTACATTCCGGCCGATAGACGGCGCAGCGGGTCTTCTCGGCCCGATACATTTTCAGAAGCCTGCCAAGAGAGGAAACTAGTACGGTGACGAAGACTTCGTGGCAGTTGCTGTGAATGCGACTACAGACAACGGCGAAAGGCAGCGGGAGAACAAGCGCTTTGGGTACGGACCCACTGGTGGTCGTCACAAAGGCAAACGGCTATAGACGGCACTACGGCGGCAGGGCAGCCTCGGGGATTGAGTGCTTTGGTGGTCGGAGGACACTGGTGAGAGTTGTTGTTGTCGTTGGCAGGTAGGCAACCAAGCTGGATTGTGGCAGATAGGTCGCGAAGGGAGGAGATTTAAACAAGGATTCGGACCTCTCGACACAGTCGGAGTGATGAACAGTTAGAGAAACAAACACAGAAATAGTGCTGCTGTTGGGCTCTGGTCACAGCTTCGCGTTCTCTAACGGTTCGCAGCAGTTAGAGGTCGCAGCCGGAGGAGAATAGTAAACATCTCCTGCTATTGTGCCGAGTCTCGGATGTGCTAGAACGAAAGCGTGAAGAGGCTGTGAAAGAAGATACGATCGAAAAACGAGACAAGCATAGGAAGGGGTTGTGTCCTTGTGGTGAATACGAAAAAAGCGGTGTATTACAATACGGTGAGAGGCAGTATTTGTATGCGATTTGTGTAGCCGGTAAGGTATAAGAGCACGAGGTGAAATATTATAAGGAGGCACTCTAATATATGTTGTGAATCTCTGTGACGAAAGCCTGTAGGTGGTGAGAGGCACGACGTTCGCGATCTAGCGAATTCGATTTTTCACGAATTTCGTGTTAGTTTGCCCGGCATTATCATGTGCTGCTCGGCGGTTACCTTGTCGCTGGCGACCATCACCGCAGTCCTGGGACTTCTCTGCCTAACCGTTGCGTTTGGTACCGATTCATGGATGGAGATTCGCGTCAACCGAACTTTTGTTCGAAACTCGCTAACGAAGGACACCGATGAATATCGTTCGTTCGAGACCCAGCTCGAGTATTTCTCGAGGGATGTTGGCCTACTAAGGATATGTTTCCCGGACAAGCGACCTAAAACAAGTGAGTTGCCGCTGCAGGTGAACCGGCCTATTGATCGTACGAAAATAAGCCTATATATATATATATAACCGTTAGCCCGACCCGCAGAATTCACAGTTGCCGATGCATCGTTGCATACACAATTCAATAAAAAAAGTAATGGATTAATTCGAGCCCGTATAAACAGTGGTCGAATCAAATCAGCAAAATGTCGTTCAAAAAATTGCTGCCAGCATACGATCAAAGCAGGCTCAAAATGCTACACAGTTCATGAACATTCTCAAACTCCATTTGTGTGTACCAGTTGGGTACTACGAATGCTTCCCATATAGTTATAGAAAATTTCATCTCATCCTTCATTTTTTTTGTCGCTTTTTTAAGTACATGTACAATTCAATAGATTTTGCCATGCTTGGAACATGTGAGCGACGCGGAAATCTTCCAAATAAATGTTGTCAGGCCGGCTAAACATGCACTGCCGTACAGGGTTGTACGGTACGTGCATGTCACGTAAAACGTACGTTTTGGCATCAGTCGACCAAATACGGTATCTGAGCTTGCTTGATTTTCCGAGTAGTTACCGGATACAACACAGAATGCAAAGATATGAAGCATACGCGCTGTACAACTACATAATGAATCTCGTTTTACTAAACGCTCACTAGCTTTTGTACATTCAGGCACTGCACGTCGGCGAAGAGGTTGCTGGATTTCGCCGCGCTGATTTCCGCGTATATATGAAATCTCCTATAATTTGTGGAATCTCAGCATGCGAATGTTATCACAAGGGCTGGTGACAGCGCGGCCGTTACGCCCACACGCCGCGGATCGTGTGCGTGAGCTCATCTCGACGTTTCGTAGTTTTCGTTAAGTTACGAGAACATAAAGGGGGCTTCGATCAGATACATCAGTGGTATAATGAATGTGCCGACTCGGACGCATCGGCAAGTGTGCAGACTAGCAAATGTTTTGTAAAATAGTTTCGTCTCAGAGAACCACTGTGCACGTATAAAGCATCCTTTAATTATACCGGTGTGTCGTATTTTTGCACGAAACGATTACACGCGTTAAATACGAAAAGTCTGGAAAATAACTGGCTCGATTACGTATTACTTTGTTCTGTTTTGAACGTCAGCGATTATTTCAAAATGGCGGCTGATTATATCGGATGAATACAGTTGCTATATCGGTACGTAGACACAGACTGGTATTTGGCGTTGTTTGCGTTTAGATGATAACACCAGCGGCTCGTTGTAACCCAAAAGTTGCCATTCAATATATATTCGTTGGCTAACGATTTCACAAAATCTTACCGTTAACTCTTAGAAGTGTATGTACTTTCGTGTTATTACCTGCCCCAAAGTAATCAATTCTTGGGCCTGCATCTATGCTCTATAGCTGTGCTTCACAGGTGTATGTCTCGCATTTTGAGACTAGAAGGAAACTGTTTTCGCATCGTTGCTTTTGTTCGCCTGGTCGGGCCACTGTCGCAGGATGGACAGGCCTCCTGTGATGCTCCAGAAAAGCGACAATCATATATTATAAACAACTACAAACGTCTGTCTTAGCCACTGGCATTTGAAATGCCTTTTTTAAGTTCTATTTGTCCTTTTAAAACTTACTAATAGCTCGAACGTTATAGGAGGGGCTAGCTGATAACGTTGTAACGATAACGTTCAAATATAAACGGTACGGACACCAATAGCAAGGAAAGGCAGCGGCTTTTTTTGTTGTAATTCTACAATACATTTTATCTAATCTGTATGATACCTAATCCAAACTCAAAGCGATGCCACAGTTGTTGCTCGTGGCACATAAACTCATCGTATGGAACAGATACCGTACACCGTATGGACCGCGATTTCCGATACGACAACCCACCCCGTCACTATTTACACGCCGTATGAGCTTGACTCACACCGATGATAACCAGGTTACCTCGTACGAGACGCGGTAGCGTGCTCACGATCGGCTGAAGCGTCTGGACGGTTTCTCTAACTTCGTTCAGTAAGTGTCGACCTGTGTATGCGTACGCATACAAGCGACGCTAACAATTTTGCGGTTCGTTTTATTCACTCTTTTTCATCCTTTTTACCGACGGACAGATCAAAAGGCCGATCCTTCGATGGGGCCCCCGGTCGATTCGGATCGACCCTAGACGGATCAGAAGCAAGCAAGCAAGCAGACTATGAAACTGTGCTGAAGACACGAAGAATACGCTGCCACCACTTTCACCGCCGCTTTCAAGTGCTGAATCACGAAGGGAATTTTTACTAATAGTACCAGTGGCAAAGTGCAAATCCACCAGATCACGACAGATGGATGCTCGGACGGCTGCACGGCCACTACGGTATATGAACGCGATGACGAGGATGACGTGAGCCCGCGTTCATTGTGTATTTTCTTGTTTTGGATCAACCGACCAGCCAGCCAATCGTTAGGGATTCCCTGTTGGCTCTTGATTTTTCAAATTTCACCCAGACAAGATCCTTTCTTCAGGCAGCCGTTAAGCATAGGCCGGAAACACCGATTTGTATTGCCGAATATTCTTAGTCGCTATAAAAAGATCAGCTCATCTGTACAAATGTGATATGTAGGTACTTAGGGTTCGCGCGAGCTTCACATCGTGATTTCAACCGCTGTCCACTGCCTAACTCGGTAAATAGCTTGCGCATGATACAGGGACCTAGCGATCTGCCTGCTCCATTAGGTTTTATGAAATAGTACGGGCCTATTGTTAGACTTGGTTGAGCCTAGACCTACTGCGTAGCCATCTGCCATATTACAAAACTTAATCGCCAATAATTAGATTAAGACCGACCGTTTGCAAAAAATATCAGTGATTTTAGATACGGATGGGTGATGCCGGTTATAGTGTTTATATCAATTACCCTGTGGGCCAGTCAGTGGAACGTCCAGTGTTCACAGAGATTATGCTAAGATAGTGCGACCATGAATTCTCAATACACTCGTAATATAAGTATATATTTATATATATAGATATATAAATAAATAAATCTATTATCTAGTTGCCATGCGGGATACAAACTCTCTGAGGATCGAGCTTAAAATGTGATATAATGTAAGACTGGTGTGCGAAAGCGGCGTTTAGCGAAAATAGGAATTTTTTTTTCTTTTATAGCTTATGGAAACAGCAAGCGACCACGTACTTAGGTAAATTATGTAAATTAGATCTAAGTTGGCTTTGATTATTCCATTTCGGTCACAGAGCACGGACCGGGTATAGTTAAAAATCAATTTCGGCAAAATAAACTTACTGTTATTGAATGAACAGGAAAAAATTAAACAGGGCCAGCCTATGACAGTAAATTTTCAGACTATGCCCCTTCTGTCTACCGAACAGCGTTTCGATTTGGTGCCATTGATTTGTATTGAGCAAATTCTGGAATCTGGTCTGAGCAATAATCGAATCAATGAATTAAAGTAGCATCCATTTGATAGGCTAATTCTTCAAGGGAAAGGAGTCAGGTTTTGTATTGCAACCCCTTGATTCAAACACAAACGACCTGACAGGTTTCTGGGTTAATCGTTAATCAGAAAGTGCTATTAGCTTAAGATGCGTCGGTATATCTAAAATAAACATTTCTATTAAGAACGTTCCCTTAGTGTTTTGTTGACTCCAGATCATAAGATGATTGAGCAAAGTATTTTTCCACGAGTACCCAGTTTTGGCAGAGACGTCAATAAACGTCGGAATATACGTTCCGTTAAATAAGCCAACATTCTGATCAGTAACTAAGACGTTGCACTATCGGCAAGAATCTAAGTACAAGCTGAGTAATAGCACATATATAGGCAATATGGTTCTGTGCGTCCTCATGCTGCCGCTGCGTGAAAATAGATGAACTAACCGTGACTAAAATATTGAAGATGATAAACCTACTAATCGACCATTGTCGAGGAAATAGTAGTCTCTGCAACGTGTGGTATTAGCAAGATCGCTATAATCATTTCACTTTTTTAGTATATGGATTACATAAATTCTATATTTATCTTCTCAGTCCATTTATATAATTATCTACGCACCCGGCAGTTACATGAACTAACACCGAACCACATAGGCGGTGAAGTTGTCAAAAAACTAAATATACACAGGTACAAACAAAGTAACCCACCCCTATGAATAATCAAAAAAGTCACTGGACTCTAGCCATTTTTACGTTACGTTGCTTCTTGAGTCCTATAGATGACTGCGTACGGAAACGCGCTGCCAGATGAAGAATGATTACTAAACTTATGAAACACTACCTGATGTATCCCGCGCGGCAGGCGTAAGTTGTGCTATTCTATATCTTGCATCGCGTCTCACATGAAGATCCTGGGAGGTGATCGAAAAAAATTCGATCCGGCAATTCTGCCTAGTTGATTCAAATAGTTTCACTCGACCGCGCGAGCAACTGTTTCACTGGCTGACGTAGGAGTATTACTGGAAATAACCCAAGTGGGGGTCTTTTGGGGCAGCGTAGCCGGCAGCGGGTCTATGGGTTGAACCGGTTGGCCAATCAAATGGTCTCGCTTTTTGGTTGGCGAAAATTCTGCTCTATTTCGAAGTGTGTTATGAGGTGTAAGCAATAGTGAACTTGCGTGCAAGTTGTGTCGTCAGCTACAAATAGCGAAAATAGGCACACAAAAGTGCATGGCAGTGTGCGATAATCCCACGTAACGATTACCCACGTAAATATGAAAAGGAAATACAACCAGGTATATTACTAATCATGATAACGAACAACAGCAGTAGGACATGGTACGATGTAAGGCACACGAAATTATAGTTTTGTTCGCCATACTTCGATTTTTGCATAGGGACTAATTAGACTAGCCTGGTACGATCGCTGTATCATTACGTTGCGCATTTCCACCTCGTTGGGTGACTGGGTATGGGTATGGGTCGTACACAGTGGGTTACATCTGTCGTCGATCACGGAATCACGGAATTATTCTTCGAGCTTCTGAATCGCCTTCTCTACACAGATGTATCAGCACGAAATGTATTGAAGCAG